ATGATGCAAATGCAAATTGGATAGGTGGTGTTCAAGACAAGTTAAGTTATCAAACCTCTACTGCTGCGGAGATAAAAGCCATATCGATGGGCCTATTATTGTGCAAAACAGTTGGGTCTCTCTAAGACAAGAGTTTGTACAGATTCTATAGAAGCTCTGCGATTGTTGTCAGTAGATGTTGGCTCATTCCATCTTTTGGGAGAAGAGAAATCCAGGAAGCTCGGTCCCTCATCTACTCCAACCGGGATCTAGAAATACCTCATTCTTACAGGGAAAATTTAGTGTGCGCTCATATTCCTGCCGTGTCTGCACATAACTTAGGACAGGATTTTGTTAGTTATCTACAACCTCCCTCGTGTTGTTTAGAACAACTTAGGATAGATCGTGGTCTTCTGAATCAGATGACAGTCAATAGGGCTTAACTGTTGTTTTTGTAGATACTTCAAGCTCCTGCTTGCCCTTGTAAAAAGAAAGAAAGATATTTCTTTTAGTATAGGAGGTGATACTTGTTAATTACAAGGAAGGGGTGGAAGCATAATGGCCTCATGCATGCGTCTGACAGTTTTTCAAATGTGAAAATTGAGTAGAAGAAATAGAGCAGATGGGTGACGCTGAAGTCGGAGAACTGATGACAGTGAAGTATGAAAGCACGTGATATGCAATTGTAATTGGTTTGTATAATTTGAAAAGAGAGGATAAGTGTTTATGCAGTTTTGGTAAAATCGAAGGGAGATCATCGATTGTATAATTTTGGGAGGTAGAAAGGAGAAATTAAAGGAAGTGGCTTGAGTGAGAGTGGCACTTGATGAGAACTAGTTTTAATACTCATCACTTTAATGAGTCCCTCAAATTTATTAGAATTATACTGTTTATATTTGATTTGAACGATTTAAATTTAAAATATTTAATTAATTATTTTTAAATAGAAAAATATTTTCTTTTAAAGAATCACAGTTAAGAGATTATTTCTATTTTAAATTCTATACATATTAAAATAATTATTTTAAATAAATAAAAATTAAAAAGAAATCAAATCTGAGCTATTCAAATGAAATATGGATGATTCAGATTTGATGAGTTTAAAATACTCATAAAAAAATAATGAACATTAAAACTGGTTCCTACGTTTTATATGGTTTTAACATGTGAAAAAGCGGTGAGTGCATTGCTAAAGCCGCCTCTAGGGGGGGCTAACATCCCTCTCTTGAGTCATATATGTAGACTTAGAAAAAGTAATTTAAATTCCACGATCCACTTTCTTTTCTTGTTTAAAATCTGCGCACCTTCCCCTGTTCCCCAGTAATCATTTTTTTTTTGGACCAGGTTTCCCATTAATCACAGTATTCAACCTGGTGGCGACGGGGAACTGGCAAATATAGGGCCCAAGGTAATTAATGAAATTTGAAAATTTTATTCAGAATTTATTTTTTAATCTGAGAATTACAAGTGCTAGTAATTTTTTCATCAGAGGCAATAAATGAAAGAGGAAACATCCAATCCCAAATGAAAAGGACGGGCCAGTACTTAATGCCATTGATCACCGGTCACGTATGTAGTCATTTTACTTCCCCTCCGAATTGATCATCACCAAGCCTTCTTTTGTATTGTAGCTCCATCATCTCATTTTCCACACTCACATATGAAATTAAAACACCTGTCATCCAAGTTCCCAGCACTGCTCTTTCCTCTTCCTCCCCTGCCAAGAAAAACTACTCTTACTATAAGAATCAATCCGTTAAGGTCCATTTGTTACTAAACATTAAAAATAAAGGTGGTGATTTGAGCCTTTTTAGTCACTTTAGGTCAAATAAAAAATAAAACTAAATTACGCAATAAAGCACAACTCGATTGTTTCTTTTGAAAAGTTTTTTATTAATTTCCAAATTAACTCAGTGACAAAAGAATTAAAAAGGAGAGGTTGGAAAGAGGATTTTTTTCAATAAAACCAATTATGAAAATAAAGAAATAAATCTAAACTATTTTTTTAATATTTTTAATAAAAAGAGAATAAAAAATGCAAATTTGGGTTTAAAAAATTAGTGATGGGAATGCTTCTTGAAAAGAAAATGTAGCTATCCTTGCTTAACAAAAATATGGGAGCAAAATAATACATCAAGTTAAAAAGCAACTTCAAATACGATTTGGGTCAAGTAAACTTAACATTTGACTACTCTAAATACTAGATAGTAATCAAATTATTAAAATATCTTTAAAAATTACTTGATGTACATTTTAAATTGAGTTAATAAAATTGGCTTTTCCTCTCCAAAAATGCTATATTCAATTGCGATACATCTCAATCATAAAATCTAACAATATGCTAGATAAAATAAAATAATATTAATGAATACAACGAAAGCATATATAAATTCAAACTCAAGTAATACAACTCAAATTAAATTGCAAAAATCTAATTAATAGAAACTATAACATATAATTTCAGTCTCTAAATCAAATGAAAATATTCCTAACACAAGAAAAGTCTAATGAAATTTAAGAGAAAATTAATTGGAAAACTAAATACTCTCTTGGTTAAAGCTCCAAACTCAAGCAACTCCTTCAATTCCAAGAAGCACAATGGGTTTAGCCTCTCATAGCTCTAGAAGAATCTACAATATTTTTGAAGCAATGAAAATCCACAGAGGCTATGGTAAAAGAGTAGGTGTGGACATTATTTGTAGGAAAAAAACAAGAAATAATGGAAATCGAAGGTGATGATGATGGTTGGTTGAAGGGAGATAATGACAAAGGTTATGGAAGAAGTGGACGACACGCCACTGCGTGCAATTGAGGAATGAATTTGAAGAGTATTGGCGGCGTGTGTTTTCCTGGTGGTGTGCGTCTTGTGTGTATATATGCGTGTTCTCTCCCTAGCCCTCAATCAACAATCAATAAATCTATAAGTAAAATCTGGGGCGTTGATGCTCAAATTGATTCCCTTTCTAATTCCTTTTTTTTTTTTTCCTTTCAGCTTTCTTTTTATCTTTATTTTCTTTTCTGGGCTTGTAAAAGATAAATTAAAATACTATCATAAAGTCCAAAATCAATTATTTAAAAAGAGATAAAAATATCATAAGATTTTCTTTTAAATCATGCAAGCAATATTTGATTCAAGATATCCATAATCAATACAGTTTATCCCACTTTAATTGATAAATATTCCTAAAAAGAAATCAAATAACATATTAAAATAGGAATTTATCAATAGGGATTGAGATTATAATTGAAAAAATCTATTAAAGGATAGTTTAGCATGAAAGATTGCTTATCACATTGAATTAGAAAAATCCATGTATGTGGAATTGAGGAATATCACAGGAAAAAGTGGTATTTCCAAATCCTACTTTCATGGGTTTGCTTAATTTCATATAATAAATAATTATTAATGCTAAATACTTTTTAGTGATTTTTCTCAATTACAATCTCAATCCCTATTTCTTATTTTCAATATTTTGCGCCAAACAGGAGCTAAAGTTCTTTGAGATTATCCTATATAGTATATAGTTTCTATCCATTAAAGTTCTCTTATTTTCTTTAAACTTGTATATGGGCATAACCATGCATTTGGATTCACTCCTGCATATTTTTCTTCTCCTATTTTATTCAATCAGCTCCTCTACATTAATATCCTACTGGAGTTAGTGTGGCGTTGTAACCTGTCAAATACCCTCAAAAGTATGGACCAACAAAACGATTTCCTGAAAAGAAAAATTAATTGCATAATTAAATTGGAAAGACCACTTTAAGATTTTCTTAAGGAGGCAAATTGAAAAAAAATTGCAATTTTTCCCAATATGTGTGTGTGTGTGTGTGTGTGTGTGAATTAAAGGCTAGTTGTCAGAAATATGGAAGACCGGTTGCAGAAATAGGAAACCATTTTCAAAACTTGCAATAGATCTTTGATTATTTTACAAGTGTTTTTGTTAATTTTCTAGCCTCTCTCTTGCTCAGGTTCTTGTGTTTCTAAAAAATTTACGGGTCTTGTTTATTTTGCAAATGTTCTTGCTCATATTATGACCTTTCTTGAATTTCTATAATATTCAAAAATTAGTTTTTTAAAATTCGAATTGTACTTTTTCAATATTTTCAACAAATTAAATGCTGTATAAGTTAATTTATTACTATATTTTTCAAAATTGTATATCAAATTTTAATGCATGAAAAATTCACTAAATTAAATTAATCTATTTTTTATTTATGACAAGTTTCTTCATCGTATTTATCACAAAACGGATTAATGAGGATGACAAAAAATAGTAATTAAATGCTTGCAAAATTGAGAGCGAATTAAAGATATACCTAGGAGGGTCCCCTTTTCTACAATTCGTTGTTTAAAGCTCTATGTATACTACGTAGGAAAATATATTTAGTTATTAATTCAATTGTGATTCATATAGCTAGTGAATAAAATCAAACATATTAATGGATTATAATAATTAACACAGACAAAAAACTAGAGAAAAATCAAAGATGAAATGAAATAAAGAGAACCTTCCAACTATATCATATTAATTCCGTTTAAATTGTTAGCGAAAACAAAATTCCGTTTAATTCGTACGACTATGGACTATGTAAAGGATAACGTGTTGATGACTAGTGCTTTTATGTTTAATATAAAACTCAATTAATTAATTCGAGAAAATTTAAAAAATTATTAAATTACTTTTAAGTATTTATATTTATCGTTTTTTAACTAATTTCTTTCACTTATAAATATAACATATGCTATAACTAAGTAATTTAGTAATTTTTTTAAATCAGTCAGTTGTGTTTTATACCAAGGACCGAACCTCTGATCCTAAATGAATATCATTTTGTAGTGTAGATTAGACTTACTATGTTTGAAGTTTTATAGAGCGGAGGAGCATTACTTTTCTCCCACGTGGATAGTGTTGAATGAATTTATAGTGCCCCCTAGAGACCGGAGGATGGAGAGAGATCAGAGCGCTATATATAATGAGACCCGACGCAAGCAATTCACATTCGCAAACTAAACGACTATGGCCTTGCCCACTACCTTCTTGCCCAGTTCCTCCATCTCATTTAGTTTTAGAAAGCACTGCGAACCAGGAGGGCCTCTTTCCTTCCACAGGATTGGTTACTATCACACCAACCTCCGATGCTTGGCCACCCAACGGACGCTTTCCCTCCCTCCCTCCTCTCTCAGAAACTCCACCAATTACCAGCCTACCTTCTGGACTTATGACTTCCTCCAATCCTTGAACAATGGTTACACGGTAATTTTACTTCCTTAATTTCCTGGTCAATTAATTCACGATGTATATGGAGAGCGTTATTCACCATCTTCCATTATTATATATGACATACAATTAACAATACTTAGCTTGTTGTTATAGGATGAGAAGTACGAGACCAGAGCAAGGAAGCTGCTGGAGGATGTGAGGAGGATGATCGTGAATCCCAATACTGAGCCATTGCCAAAGCTCGAGCTCATTGACGATGTCCAGCGCTTAGGCCTCGGCTACCGCTTTCACAATGAGATCAAACACGCTCTTGATTGTTATGTCTCCTGGGAACAAAGCCGTCCTCAAACAAAACAGCACACAAGCCTTCATGAAGCTGCCTTAAGCTTCAGACTCCTCAGAGACCATGGCTATGACGTCTCACCAGGTCCTACGCATATGGCTATCTCCTTATGGTTTTCTTTTTTCCTTTTTCTCATAATTAACTCTCTCGCATAAACCAAAGTAAATGATGTGACCGGGACATAAATAACGCAGACATATTTGAGAGTTTCAAGGACCAAAACGGTAATTTTAAGGCATGGCTCAGCAGAGATGTGCGAGGGATGTTGAGTCTGCACGAGGCAACATTTCTGGGATACCAAGGAGAGGACATTCTGGAGGAGGCCAAGGCCTTCACCACCATCCATCTCAGGGACATGAAGCAACATATAAGCAACGATCATCTGTTGCAACAAGCGATCAGTCACGCGCTGGACCTTCCATTACATCGCAGAACGGGAAGGTTAGAGGCGAGATGGTACATAGAAGCATATGGTAAGAGGAAAAACGCAGACACGGTCCTTCTCGAAGCTGCTGTACTGGATTTTAACATAGTACAGTCAACATTTCAAAGGGATCTGCAGGAAATGTCAAGGTTCTTCAGTTTATTATATTTGTTTCCCTAGACGCATACGTATAGCAACAACCAAATAGTAGAAGTCAAAAAGAGAAATTGGCTTCAAATATTGATATAACTAATTATAGGTGGTGGAAGGCGATGGGACTGGCATCAAGGTTGAGCTTCAGCAGGGACAGGCTAATGGAGTGCTTCTTCTGGGCCGTGGGAATGGAGTCCGAACCTCAACACAGTGAGCTCCGAAAAGCACTAACCAAAGTCACTTGTTTCATTACCATAATCGACGACGTCTATGATGTTTATGGCACTCTGGATGAACTCGAGCTGTTTACCGCCGCGGTTGAAAGGTTTGCTTTCTCCTACATTCGGATAAATTTATTTGATAAATATTATTTCTATTGAAAGCCAGCCAAACATATTACGTACGAATATTATGTGGTGAATGCTTTTTTTTTTTTTTTTTAATGTTTCAGGTGGGATATCAACGCGATACAAGATCTGCCGGAGTACATGAAAGTGTGTTTCCTGGCTCTCTACAACACTGTCAATGAAATGGCTTACGAGGCACTGAAAGGGCAAGGCCACAATATCCTACCCTACCTCACCAAAGCAGTGAGTGCCCACGAAAACGCTTCACTATAGAACATACCACATGTTAAATACTATTTCATTGGGAAACTAACTCTTACCTCAATAATTTTAGTGGGCAGACATGTTGAAATCATGGCTTCAAGAAGCCAGGTGGTCTCATGACAAACACATACCCTCATTCGACAGCTACTTCAGGAACGCCTGGGTATCAGTTTCAGGAGTAGTAATCCTCTTCCATGCTTATTTCTTTCTCAACCACAATTTCTCAAAGGAGTCACTTCAATCGTTGGGCCCTCACCATCCCCTCTTGCGTTGTCCTTCCGTTATTTTCCGTCTCTGCAACGATTTGGGCACATCGAAGGTGGCCTATTCTTTATCAATCACTCAAATCTTATGTTGTACGTCATTTGGTTCTACGTACTCTCTCTTCGCACGCTCTGACGAGGACCTCATTTTAATTACTGTCTTCATTCATTGTTAATGTTTTCTTCAGGCGGAGTTAGAGAGAGGTGAATCAATAAGTTCGATACTATGTCACATGCACCAGAGTGGGGCCACTGAGGAGAATAGCCAAAAATACGTGCGCAGATTGGTGGATGAGACGTGGAAGGAGATGAACAAAGGAAGAGGAATAGAGACCACATTTTCAAAAGCTTTTGTAGAAACTGCCATGAACCTTGCAAGAATTTCCCACTGCACCTACCAGTATGGTGATGGCCATGGAGCTCCAGATGCTACGTCCAGGAACCGGATTCGATCGCTAATTGTCGAGCCCATTCAACTAAGAGGCTGATAAATGCCTCGGAGTTAATAGACTTGCAATTACTTAGTCATCTTTATATCTGGGGAATTACATTATTGGCCGTATATGTTTTTGTTCACGGGCAACGAATGTAAAATTTGAAGGAAAAAACAAACTATTATAGAGGTAACAAAATGACTTTCTTTTTTAAAAAGAGCTTTTCATATTTACAACAAGAGTTTTCCTTTTCCTATTTCTTCCTTTATAAGTCGGATAGAAAAAACTGAACTCACAATACAATACACGGAACAAAAATCAAGAGGGGGAAAAAAAAGAAGAAGCTTCGTGATGCCGCTCTCGTCAAGGAGAGACCTGGTCGTCTTCCTTAACCTGGCTCTTATAAGGAATCTAGCAAAAGAGAGATATGAGAGAATATTACTTGCATACAGAGCATTGACAAAAGCTTCCGGGGTCCAATTCATTATGCACCGCATCCTTCCTATCCCCCGGGTTGTATTAAAACAGGACATATATTTAAAGTCAAAAATATAAATATAAATTAACACAAGTAAATAGAGATGAAGGAAGTGTATCTAATTTTTCCCAAATAAGGGTTTAGGTAGGATTAGTGGTTTGAAAAAGATCGGAAGAGTAATGCTTGTACATAATCATCTACGCTATACGCGTTTCTGTCGTCTCCATGCTCATAAATGACCTGCGCAGATCTTGCTACGTTAAGCGAAGCCTTCACAGTTGACCATGGCAGCGACTTTGATGCCATAGCTATGCTGTTTAGTTCCCACCACAGCTTCCCTATTCGCTCTCTTACGTATTTTCTCGCTTTGTCTTCCTCTAAGTGAGGATTATCTCTCATGTAGCATTGGATACTGCATGCATTGTCTCCTCTTTCTTGTTCCTCCTGGTTAATTATCACAGTGAAACTTCATTCATTTATTAATTGGATATCCTATTTGGCGTGTGGAGGACAAATTGAAAAGAAGGATAACTAAAGAAGGGCACACGTACCGTTGAAGTTCCCAAGTCATCCCAAAGGCGAAGAATCTGGCCAGACACAGTGAAGAGCCTTGGATACGGGTTCATCATCGTGGAAATGTTTTGCTTTGAGAGATCATCTCCTATTAGGAAGAATGCGTGAACCATTGCCATGTATGATCCTGCAGAAGTGACACCATTCTCCAAATATTCTTCAAAACTTGGTATGTGTCCCCTGCTGAACCACTTGGCTTCCTCTAAGAATGCTTCAATTATGTCTATCCACTGCAACCAAGTCATTCATAATGAATTGCATAATCCCATCCCGGACAGTACTCTTTTCTAATATTTGTCATCATTTCTGATTATTTATTTAATACTCTTACAGTTCTTTTCAGGTGTGCAACGACGGTCAGGCCATGGTCTCTCTGAACTCTGTAGGCCATTTCGTTGGTTGTGTTGTACAATGCCATATAGCATATCTTCATATACTCGGGCAGCCCTTCCATCGCGTCCAGATCCCACCTGTAAGCACGTATGTTAACAATGTGACCTATTCTGAATCACCTGTGTTGATTTTTTTCTAGTGATCACAAGAAATTATTTGACAAGCAGATCAACCTTCTGATGGCTTCAGTGAAAAGAACAAGTTCATCCAAGGAGCCATAAGAGTCAAAGATATCATCCATAACCAGTAATATGCAGATGGTTTTGCTGAGTTGAATTCGGCATTTAGAATAGCATGGCTCTGGAAATGTCCCCACTGTCCACAGGAAGCACTCTGAGGGTCTGTCTCTCGCAAAACCAAGTTTATCAGCAAGCCCCAGTTCTTTCCACCACCTACGAATGTCAAGCAGAAACTTCAGTTGTCCGTATATGCAGCATTCAAAATGATCAAAAACGTTTTAAAGGGTGAGATCTTTCTCGCCTGCATATCTCTGTTAACTCTTTTTGGTGCAGCGATTGAACCATGTCGAAGTCTAACTTGGCCAATGTCAACAGAGCTGGCGTGTGGTCGCTACATTGTTCGTATTCATGGATGTAGTCTCTGGCTTCCAGCCTGGCCATTCTGAGGTGCCTCGGATGCCTCAAGGCTCTCTCAACGTGGCGTCCTTCTTCAGGGCTTAGGTGTGGTAAGGATCGGCCAAGATGGAGCTTTGTAAAGTCCATGGCTTCCGTTAATATATCCTCACCCTCTGCTCCTAAGTATGAAGCCTCGTACAAGCTTAACAAATCCCACGTCTCCCTGCCAATTGATTCTTTGAATCTCCCCCTCGCATCTGTAAATTTCTTAAAAACATCTACCACACCAAACAACTAATCAGAGTATCAAATTGCAGAAAACAGATTTTGTAATTGAGCATGATGAGTAACATCTATGTCCGGGCGAAATTTCTACCGGAAAATAGACCAACTTGTAAACCAAAAGGGAAAAAAAAGAAGAAAAAAACCTGATGAACAAGGTACGGAGGCATGGTGTCTGAGAAGGCGGAAGTGAAGAGAAGTGGCAAAGAGATTGTCACCAGCGTCCCAACCACACAAACCTCTCAGTATTGCGTCGATGTCTACTTCGAAATGGTGCGAAATTCCTAAATGTTGGATTGTGTCTATCATCTTCAAGGCTTGCGTTGGATCTGTCGTGTTTCTCAGTGTCTCTTGGATTCTTCTCACCAATTCTCCCGAGCTTTGACTGCACTCATCAGTTTCCACAGCTACAAACTAACATCAACACAAAGACACGTATTATAATATATATATATATATATATTTATACACACTCCCGTATCAGAAAACAGAAGCAGAATAAGGTAATAAAAGCTTGATATCTGAGGGATGTACCTTGTCATAAAATGCGACGGACTTAGTGATGGATGGGTGACGTAAGATTGGACGCTTGTTGCTGGGGAATGAAAGGGAAATTGGTTGATATGTGCATGGCCAACTAAGTGGAGAAAACAGTCTCATATATGATGATGGAAGCGTGCCTGAAATTTTAGCTCCGGCGAACGCATCAGCCATTGTCATTAGAGAAGTCGACGACGTGGCTCTCGCCACTCCGCACTCCGGTAGTCGCTGAAATACAGGGTTTGGAAAGGGTTACTTAGCCTTCTGAACACAGATTTTGGTGCCTCTGTTCATATAGGCTCTCCACTCTGCTTATTTCATCACATTGCTTGGGACAATGACTGTTACACACTCTTTTCATTTAAAATAATATTGTTTTACATTACTTCTTAAATTATATATAATGATTTGAATTTTCCCGTACTTAATAAATGATCCCTATCGCTCTCCTGATGCTTTTTTTTTTTTTTTTTTCATGCAATGAAAGGTAGCCATTTTCTTTCATCCCATACCATCAGAAATATTAATTAATGTGTTAATGGTGGATTCGCAGGCAGAGTTGACGTTAAGCTGGAGATGAATAAAAGATGAAGCCACTATTGGATCTCCTCTGTGAAAAGATCTTCTTATCAAACCTTGGCATGATTGTGCTGTGATGGCCCTGCAACGTGAATTGAGGAATGGGATGGCAAATGAGACAGCTGCAGGCTGCAGCGCATGTGATGTGGGCCGGTGGAGCAGAGTTTGTCATGATTTGCTCTCACCCCTCTGAGGATTTCTTGCTAAACTCTGCCGACCGTTACTTTTTCTGCCCTTTTCCCTTCTCATAATTGCAGAACTTTATTATCATGGATTAATACAAATTTTGATCCATCAAATTTATTTTTATTTTAGTTTTAGTCTCTTAAGTTTCAAACCATTTCATTTGATTTTTTTTGGGCCTGATATTACTATTTGGTTTACAACACTCATAATTATCCGACTGAGACCTAGATGTGACCGATGCTCTCTACAAGGGATCGCTTTGATTGGATCATGGGGACCTCATGCGGATTCTTTGGGCCTTGTTACTACCAAAATGCATAAATTCAAGCCCATTTCCTGAAGAAACAAAAACACTGTCAGAAGTGGGATTTGAACCCACGCCCTCTCACGAGGACCAGAACTTGAGTCTGGCGCCTTAGACCACTCGGCCATCCTGACTTGGATGGTGTGTCTTCCGTTAAGATAATATCAAAGTACGCATACCCATACCTCTTCCCCTCCCCTCCGCTTTATCCTTCATTTTGAAGCATCAGCATGCAGCCATCCATCATTCGTTCGTTCATTTTCTAGCAATCTAGCATATCCCCGCTTTTCCTCGGCCCGCTCAATTGGCATATAAATTATGCATTACACCCTTGTTTTTATACGCACATAAATTTTATTAAAATACACTTGTGTGCTTGTAGACACCAACTACATTGGATGTAGATTTTTCATTTGAGTGACGTAAGGTAGTTTTATTTGTCAAGAAAAATGTATAAATGTTTTTTCGTTAAACAAGTCAAAATTTGTTTTTAAACAAATTTGGGCCTTGATAATGGGCCTACAGGCTGCCCAACACAGGGATGAGTTTTTTTTTTTTGCCTGAACACTGGGATGAGTATTGAGTAACCCAAATACCAGATCCTCCAATTTTAAGATCCAGAAAAAAAAAATGTCCATTGGGGATTTGCGTGATAGTCTAAATCCTCAAAACGTTGGCCCAAAAAAGAGCCCCGAAGTATTTTATTTTTGTTACCTCGGGAAAAAAAATTATCAAGCACTTTGTGTTTTCATCATCAATTTTGTGTTATCAAATTGAAGGAAAATATGAGCAAAGTAATGGAAGCAAGACAGAAATATAGATATATATATCTATTAACGAACTTATTGTAAATATTAAAAGTGTTATGGAAGTATTGAAAAAAAATTCTGATTATAATAAAAGCACTAGAGAAAAAAGTAACTGTTTGTAGTTTTAGATTAATCGAGCACGGTTTCGTATTTTCTTGAGGTTCACCTCTTTTATTTATTGTGATTATTGTCAAAGTATGTTGCTTTTCTCCACGCGTGCTCAGTCCGTTGAAACTGTAAGTGCAAGATAAAAAATGAAGAATTCCTCTACTAATTTTTCTCTCTACTTAATTTTTTTATTTTTTACTATCAGATGAACTTTTAATAGTTGAGATTTAAAAGTGAGTAAAAATATTATTATAATATTAAATATAACAAAAATTTATCAGATTAAACTACTTATATAAAATTTTAACAGTATAAATTTATTTATCTACTTCCTATTATTTCATATTTAATATTTTAATAAAATAAATCTTAGCCATTGAAACTTGATCTAAAGATGGAAACATTAAGTGGAGATGAAGTGGAGAGAGAGATTCCTCTCCCATAAATCCACGAGTTAAAGGACATTAAGCATTCTAAAATATTTTTTCGCATCTAACACTTTAAAATATTTTATGATACATCTAGCACCTTCAAGTATTTTTCAGGTGTGTCGAGCACTCTAGAGTTTTTTTTTTTGTCTTGGTGCTAGATGCACCAAAATATATTTTAAGGTGTTGGACTTACCTAAAAAAATACTCTATAGTGCTGGATGCACCAGAAAATATTTTAAGGGAGAATTCCAAAAAAAATACCTCTAAATTTCAAATTTCAAATCAGTCATATCTACTATACTTTAATAACAATTAACAATATTTACAAAGAAAATGACAAAACAATATTGCAGTCATTCCTGATTTGGGATTTTGAAATTTCAGAAGTATTTTTTTTTTTGGGATTCTCCTGTATTTTAAGGTGCTAGACACACACAGAAAAATATTTTAAGGTGTTAGATGCATCACAAAATATTTTAGATTATTAAATATACCTCAAAAAATATTTTAAGATACTATATGCAATTTAATCCTAAATTCAAATGCGATTTCAAAATTTATAGTTGCATTAAAAAGTAGAAGTGTACACGTGAGGCTGCTTGATTCACTGGTCAAAGGCGTTTTCTTCTACTTCAAGTCACCTGCATACCCCCAGTAATAACGGCATTGAGTAGCATATAAATTAAAACTATCCCTCTTTTAGTGCTCATTCATCTCTTCTTCGCACATCTTTTAATTTTCATTTGGAGTCATCGATCAATGTATTCATTCGCTGAGACCTCGTAAACGGCAAGATCATGAGTGGCGTCGAAGGCAAAGATTGATTTCAGTCTCTCACTTTGCTTCGCATCAAATCATAAGCTCAACTTTAGAATTATTTTTAACACACAATAAGAATTCAAAATTGCATTTTTAAAAGTCATAGTTTTTATCTAAATACAAAAACTAGTTTATAGTACAATTTATACTATAAACCAAAACTTATATTTAGGATATTATAACATTCTAAATTCTCGATGTTTAAAATACTTTGTTTGTTTATAATGTATTCTCCTTTGGATTTTAAACCCTTTTTTTCTTCTTATAATGAATGAATGAAGTCTTGTTAACTACGGCACATATTAAGGATATAATAACTTTTTAACTAACCAAAATGCTTTGGCCGGCTATGTGCCATTGCTTACGGAATTAGAAATGAAGGCGTAAGAGGAGATGATAAGGATGTTTTGCTCGGAGACACGCAGGAACAATGTATGGGGAAATATTTACGTTATCCAGCCCTTCCACGTCAATGACAGATAAGTCAACTATAATTGTTTGACTCATACAGGAAATAGAAAACTATGCGCAAGTACATGTCTATTTAATTAGTATTATCTCTGGTTCATAATATAAGAGTTTGTTCGAGTTTTATTTTGATTTAATAAGACTTCAATTCACTTTGTCTCTCATGTTTATTTATTTTTTTAAGATAATTCTTGTAATAGTAGTAATTCTAACCAATAAACTTAATTAACAAAGATATTTTAAAAAAGACAACACTTATTTATTATAAATAATTTAACTAATTTTTTTAACCCATTCAATTAGTCAATTTAAGAGCGGGAGGTAGTATCTACTGTCAGTCAACTTCAGGTTATTTTTCAATGAAACCGTTAGGTGAGTTCGGGAAAGAAAAACATAAGAAAGAGAAAACTCAGATATAATAGTTCTAAGTATTTTTAATTATTAGATTTTCGTTATGAAAATATCTAAAAAAGAGGCAACTGCATAATAATGATGCCGGAATTGTCTATTTTAACAAACTTTGTTACGAGGTATTTGTCTTTTGATTTTAACGTCTAATTAAGAAAGATATTCAACATACACTCTTTCCAAATAAATATTGTCCGCTTCTGAAAAACTTTGATCTTGTTCATTAATTACCTACTATTATTGTTAGATTAATTTTCATAGGTGGGGGGTAACGAGTTCAATTCCAATTTCAAGTAGTAATTTTTGTACGACTAATGAGCATGTTCATAATAATAAGCCCATTGAAACAAATAAAATATTGTTTTGAATTTAGTACTGGTTAATATTTATTTTATAAACCACACGCCAAACTCTCAATATTATTACTCAAAATTATATGTTAGATCAAAAGATAGCAACTTGTGAATGACGGGGACATTTAATTTACGAGTTCAACTCATAATGAAATGGAATTTATT